ATGAATAGCATGGCCTTGAAGAATGCATGTATGCAGATGTGGAGGAATGCTAGGTGTGGTTGGTTGATGCCAATGGTGACTATCATTAGTCCTAGTTGGCTCGAGGTTGAGAATGCGATGATTTTCTTAATGTCGTTCTGTGTGAGGGCACACAGGGCGGTGAATAGTGTTGTGGTCGCTCCTAAACACATTGATATAGTTAGAATTGTTTGGTTGTGTTGGATTAGCGGATAGAATCGGATTATTAGGAAGATTCCGGCCACTACTATAGTGCTGGAGTGAAGTAGAGCTGATACTGGGGTGGGCCCTTCTATTGCGGAAGGTAGTCATGGGTGGAGGCCGAATTGGGCAGATTTGCCAGTTGCGGCCAGTAGGAGGCCTAGTAAGGGGATGTAGTTTATTTCGTCTTGTATAATGAGTAGTTGTTGTATCTCTCATGAGCTGAGGTTTGTTATAAACCATACTATGGAGATAATGAATCCGATATCACCAATTCGGTTATACAAGATTGCCTGTAGGGCTGCGGTGTTTGCGTCTGATCGGCCCAGTCATCATCCGATTAGTAGGAAAGATATAATTCCTACTCCTTCTCAGCCGATGAAGAGTTGTATAGCATTGTTTGCGGTGACTAGGATTATTATGGTGATGAGGAATAGGAGAAGGTATTTAATGAATTTGTTCATGTCGGGGTCAGAGTGTATATATCATATTGAGAATTCTATGATAGACCATGTGACGAATAGTGCTACGGATATAAACATGACGGAGAAGTAGTCTAGTTTAAAGCTTATGTTGATGGATACGGTTTGGATATGTATTCAGTTTCAGTTGGAGATTACTGCCTCTTGGTTAGACAGTAGTAGCATGGTGGTTGGGATTAGGCTGATGAAGAATGATAATGAGATAATTGATTTTACGTATGAGGGGTATGATGTGTTTTTGGGAAAGTTAATACTAGATAGGGGGATAGGTGTGGTGAGAAGTAGCAGTGATATAATGAACGATGAGATATATAAGTTTATTACTTTTATTTGGAGTTGCACCAAGTTTTTAGTTCCTAAGACTAACGGATTGCTTCTATCCTTTAAAAGTGAGAAAGCCATGTTTTTAAGTATGGGATGTAGAGTTAGCAGTTCTACTTTACTTTCTTGGTAAAAAGGAGAGTTTAAATCTCTGTCTTTAGATTCACAATCTAGTGTTTTTGTTAAACTATTTTTACATAATAGGTTTCCTATGATGATTTTAGGGTTGAGGGTTATTAGTAGCAGGGGGAGTAGGTGGAGTGTTATTAGTGTGTTTTCTCGTGTGAATGAAGGGGGAAGGTTGATGATGTGGTGGGGAGGTGTGCCTCGTTGTGTGGAAATTAGCATGTATAGTGTATATAGTGCTGTGATGAGTATGTTTATTCCGGTCAAGATGATTGTGAAGTTTGATCAAGAGAAGGTTGAAGTGATGATTAATAGTTCTCCTACTAGGTTGATTGATGGGGGTAAAGCGAGGTTTGTAAAGCTAGCTAGGAGTCATCAGAGCGCTATCAGGGGAAGGATGGTTTGTAGTCCGCGAGCTAGGATTATGGTTCGGCTGTGGGTGCGTTCGTAGTTGGAGTTTGCTAGGCAAAATAGGAGGGATGATGTGAGGCCGTGGGCGATTATTAAGGTTGTGGCTCCTATGTAACCTCATGGTGTTTGAATGAGGATAGCTGTGATTACAAGGGCTATGTGGCTGATGGAGGAGTAGGCAATAAGGGATTTTAGGTCTGTTTGCCGTAGGCAGATGGAGCTCGTTATAACTATTCCTCATAGGGATAATAAGATGAATGGGTAGCTTATTGAGGTTGTGAGGGGCTCTAGGAGTTGCGAGATTCGTATTATTCCGTAGCCTCCTAGTTTCAGTAGGATGGCGGCTAGTACTATTGAGCCGGCGATGGGGGCTTCTACGTGGGCTTTTGGTAGTCATAGGTGCAGGCCGTATAGTGGAAATTTAACTATGAATGCTATGATGCAGGCGAGTCATAGTATGCTGTTGGATCATGTGGGTAAAAGGGGAGATGCTTTGTAGCTGAATAGTATAAAGTTCAGTGAGCCTAGGTAATTTTTTAGGTAAGTTAGAGCTACTAGAAGTGGTAGCGATCCGGTGAGAGTGTAGAAAAGAAAATATAGTCCTGCCTTTATTCGTTCAGTTTGGTTTCCCCATCGGGTGATGATAATTAGAGTTGGGATTAGTGTGGCTTCGAATAGAATGTAGAATATTATTATTTCTGAGGTTGTAAATGTTATGATAAGTAGGGCCTGTAGTGTGATTAGTAGTGAGAGGTATAGTTTTTTTCGGACGGCGGGTTCGTTTTTTATGTGGTGCTGGCTGGCGATGATTATTAGGGGTAGGAGTCATACTGTAAGGTTTACTAGTGGAGATGACAGGGAGTCTGAGAAGAAGTTTGTTGAGAAATTGTGGCTGTTAATGTCTAGTTTGTTGAGGGTGGGTAGGGAGATTAGTGCGATGAGTAAGCTGTGGCAGGAGGTGTTGATTCATAATAGTGAGTTTTTTGATAGTCAGGTGACTGGGATGAGTATGATTGTTGGTAGGATAATTTTTAGCATCGTAGGAGGTTTAAGTTTTGTACGTAATCTGAGCCGTAGGTGTTTGATACCAGGACTAGTAAGGCCAGACCTATGGCTGCTTCGCAAGCGGAGAATACTAGGAGAACTAGGGGGATGGTGTATGATAGGGTGTAGTGGGAGTTTAGTGTGATTAGGGACGCCATTACGAATATAGATAGTATTATTCCTTCTAAACACAGTAGTGATGATATTATGTGGGATCGGTATATTATTATTCCTGTCAAGGATGCTATGAAAGCAATGGTTATGTTTATATAGATGGCGGACATTTTGGTAATTATGAGATGGATCATAATTTAATGAGTCGAAATCATTTGTTTTGTTGTTTAAACTAATTACCATATTTGTCTCATTCTAGTCCTTTTTGAGATCATTCGTAGAAGAGTCCTAGTGCTAAAACTGAGATCAGTACGAGTGAGACTGTAAGTATTAGGGTGAGGTTGTTGGTTTGTGACGCTCAGGGGAGAGGGAGGAGTAGGGCGATTTCTAGGTCGAATAGCAGGAACGTAATGGCGATTAAGAAGAATTTTATGGAGAATGGTAGTCGTGCGGATCCTATCGGGTCAAATCCGCATTCATAGGGGCTTAATTTTTCTGCGTAGGCGTCCATTTGGGGGAGTCAGAATGCGATTAGCATGAGGATGGTGGCTAGGGAGAAGTTCGTCAGTAATGAGATTGTTATGTTTATTACTCTTTCTCAGGGTGTGCCGAGGCTGGTTGATTGGAAGTCAACTGTACTGTTTATACTAAGAGAGTATGAACCTCACCAGTAAATGGATACGTAAAGGAATAATCAGACCACGTCCACGAAGTGTCAGTATCAGGCTGCGGCTTCAAATCCAAAGTGATGTTTGGATGTGAAGTGGAATAGCAATTGTCGAATGAGGCAGACTGTTAGAAATGTGGATCCAATGATAACATGGAGCCCGTGAAATCCTGTGGCTACGAAGAAGGTGGAGCCATAGATTCCGTCTGAAATGGTGAAAGGCGCTTCAAAGTATTCCGAGGCCTGTAGTAGGGTGAAGTAGATTCCTAAGATGATGGTGGTTAAGAGGCTTTGAATTACGTGTTTTCGGTGGCCTTCTATTAGGCTGTGGTGGGCTCATGTGATAGAGACTCCGGATGCTAATAGAATGGCCGTGTTAAGTAGGGGTACTTCTGTTGGGTTTAGAGGATTAATTCCTGCAGGGGGTCAATATCCCCCTAATTCGGGGGTGGGTGCTAGGCTTGAGTGGTAGAAGGCTCAGAAAAATCCTGCAAAGAAGAAGACTTCGGAGATGATAAATAGTACTATACCATATCGAAGTCCTTTTTGGACTGTTGGCGTGTGATGTCCTTGGTAAGTTCCTTCTCGTACAATGTCTCGTCATCATTGGTATATGGTCATGATGCAGGCTAGTAGACCTAGTAGCATGAGGGTTATGGAGTTGAAGTGGAATCATATGGTTAGTCCTGATGTAATTAGGAGGGCGGATAGGGCTCCTGTTAGGGGCCATGGGCTGGGGTTCACTATATGAAATGCATGAGTTTGGTGATTCATTAGGTGTTGTCGTTCAGGTAAAGGCTGACGAGTAGAGTAAATACATAAGCTTGGATTATGGCTACAGCAAATTCCAGTATTGTGAGTAAGATTAAGATGGTAAATGTAATCAGGGCTGTGGTGATGTTGATGGAAATTAGGGTGAGGACAGCTTTACTGATTAGGTGTATTAATAGATGTCCTGCGGTGATGTTGGCTGTGAGTCGAATAGCCAGGGCTACGGGCTGAATGAATAGGCTAATTGTTTCGATTAATACTAGTATGGGGATGAGTGGGTTTGGGGTGCCTTGCGGGAGGAAATGGGCTAATGATTTTTTGGTTTTATGTCGGAAGCCCAGGATGACGGTTCCGGCTCATAGTGGAATAGCTATTCCTAAGTTTATTGATAGTTGTGTTGTAGGGGTAAAGGTGTATGGCAGTAGTCCCAGAAGGTTGGTAGATGAGATAAATAGGATTAGGGATGTGAGTATTAATGTTCATGAGCGGCCTTTTGTGTTGTGTATTGTTATTAGTTGTTTTAGTGTTATTTGGATTGCTCATTGTTGGAGGGAGGTGAGTCGGTTGTTGATTAGGCGGTTGGGTCGTGATAGTAGTATGGATGGGAATATTATGATAATAATGATGATGGGGAGACCCATTAGTGTTGGTGTGGAGAAGGGGGCAAATAGATTTTCGTTCATTTTTTTTCTCAAGGGGCATGCCGTTTTGTGTGGAGGGTTGATTTAGTTTTGATGTCGTTGGGGTAATGGTAGTTTAGTATTTTTAGTTGAAATATAATAAACAGGGTGATTATTATTGTTGTAATTATTATAAATCACGTTGATGTGTCTAGTTGTGGCATGTCATTATGGAGAGTCAGTATTTCTCTATCTTTAACTTAAAAGGTTAATGCTGCTATAGCTTCATAATGTTTTATGTTATTAATGATGATCAGCTTTCGAATGTTTTTAGGGGCACTATTTCGATTACAATGGGTATGAAACTGTGGTTTGATCCACAGATTTCGGAACACTGACCGTAAAATAGTCCAGGTCGTGAAGATATAAGGGTTGTTTGATTTAGACGTCCTGGGACTGCGTCTGTTTTTAATCCTAAGGATGGAACGGCTCATGAGTGCAGTACGTCTTCAGATGAAATCAGTATTCGTACGGGGGTTTTTATTGGGAGGACAACTCGATTGTCTACTTCAAGAAGTCGTAGTTCTCCTGGTTTTAAATCCGTGCTTGGTACTATGTAAGAGTCGAAGCAAAGTTCCTCGTAGTCTGTATACTCGTAGCTTCAGTATCATTGATGGCCTAGGGTCTTTACTGTTAGTGATGGGTCGTTGATTTCATCAATTATATATAGGATTCGTAGGGAGGGCAGTGCAATTAGAATGAGGATTATGGCGGGTAGGATGGTTCATACCATTTCAATTTCTTGGGCGTTTATAGTGTTAGTGTGGGTTAGTTTTGTGCTGAGCATGGTGGAGATGGTGTAGAGCACTAGTGAGCTGATCAGGAATACGATTATTAGTGTGTGGTCGTGAAAGTATAGCAGTTCCTCTATAATAGGGGAGGTAGCATCTTGAAATCCGAGTTGATGGGGATAGGGCATTAAGATATATTAGGTTTTAACTAATGATTCGTCCTTGACAAGGATGAGTAATGGTTTTACTAATATCTTGCTGTTGAGAGAGTGGTAATGGTTGCAGGGCTGGCTTGAAACTGGCTTTTGGGGGTTCGATTCCTTCCTTTCTCGGTTATATTTTGATGTATGTGGGTTCTTCAAATGTGTGGAAGGGTGGAGGACAGCCGTGAATTCATTCTAAGTTGGTGGAGGTTATTTCGGTTATGAGTACTTCTCGTTTTGAGGCGAAAGCTTCTCAGATTATGAAGACTATCATTATTACTGCTGTCAGGGAAATAAGAGATCCTATAGAGGACAGTGTATTCCATATTGTATAGGCGTCCGGGTAGTCGGAGTATCGTCGGGGCATGCCTGATAGGCCTAGGAAGTGTTGTGGAAAGAATGTTATATTTACCCCAATAAATATTACGGAGAATTGGATTTTAGCTCATGTGGGGTCTAGAGTGTACCCTGAGAATAGGGGGAATCAGTGAACAAAGCCAGCTATAATGGCGAATACGGCTCCTATGGATAAGACATAATGGAAGTGTGCGACTACGTAGTATGTGTCGTGTAGGACAATGTCTAGGGAGGAGTTTGCTAGGACAATTCCAGTTAGACCTCCTACGGTGAACAGGAAGATGAACCCCAAGGCTCATAGTATTGCCGGAGATCATTTGATGTTTCCTCCGTGCAGGGTTGCTAGTCAGCTGAATACTTTTACTCCTGTGGGGATTGCAATGATTATTGTTGCGGATGTAAAGTATGCTCGGGTGTCTACGTCTATTCCTACTGTGAATATGTGATGGGCTCAGACGATGAAGCCCAGGAAGCCAATGGATATTATGGCTCATACTATTCCTATGTAACCGAATGGCTCTTTTTTTCCCGAGTAATAGGTAACAATATGTGAAATCATTCCGAATCCTGGGAGGATTAGGATATACACTTCTGGGTGGCCGAAGAATCAGAATAGATGTTGATATAGAATTGGGTCTCCTCCTCCAGCGGGGTCGAAAAAAGTGGTGTTTAGATTTCGGTCGGTAAGTAGTATTGTAATTCCTGCGGCTAGGACTGGTAGGGATAACAGGAGAAGTACTGCTGTGATTAGTACGGATCAAACGAATAATGGTGTTTGGTATTGGGATATTGCCGGTGGTTTTATGTTGATGATTGTAGTGATGAAGTTAATTGCTCCGAGGATTGAGGATACGCCTGCCAGGTGTAGTGAAAAGATTGTTAGGTCTACAGAGGCCCCTGCGTGTGCTAGGTTACCTGCTAGAGGAGGGTAGACCGTCCAACCTGTCCCGGCGCCGGCTTCTACTATTGATGAGGCTAGGAGCAGAAGGAAGGAGGGGGGTAGAAGTCAGAAGCTCATGTTGTTTATTCGTGGGAATGCTATGTCAGGGGCTCCAATTATTAGTGGGACCAATCAGTTTCCGAATCCTCCGATTATGATGGGCATAACTATGAAGAAGATTATAATGAATGCATGTGCGGTGACGATGACGTTGTAGATCTGATCATCCCCCAATAGAGTACCGGGTTGCCCTAGTTCAGTACGGATTAGAATGCTTAGGGCTGTTCCAGTTATTCCTGCTCATGCCCCAAATAGCAGGTACAATGTACCAATATCTTTATGATTTGTGGAAAATAGTCAGCGGTTAATGAACATTGGTAAAATGGCTGAGTGGAAGCATTAGACTGTAAATCTAAAGACGGGGCGGGGAAAGCCCCTTTTGCCAGGCTTTGTAGTGAAATTTCATGTCGGATTGCAAATTCGAAGAAGTAGATTAGATCTGCCGGGGCTTCTCCCGCCTTTGTTTTTTTTATAGGCGGGAGAAGTAGATTGAAGCCAGCATGTTAGGGTATTTAGCTGTTAACTAGAGTTTCGTGGGGTAGTAGCCCACCAATCTATGAGGATTTAGCTTAATGAAAGTGTTTGGTTTGCGTCCAGTTGATGTAAATGTGATGTTTACAATCCTTATTTCAGGAAATAAATGTTGTGTATATTTACTTAGAGCTTTGAAGGCTCTTGGTCTTGTTAACCTAATTTCCTATTCTAGTGTTGTCATTATGGGGGATAGGGGTAGTATGAGTGTAGATACAATAATTAGTGGGGGTAGTAGGTATGGTATTTTGGTGTTTTGGGTGTACCATTTTATTTTTAGGTTATTTGTTGATGGAAATAGTGTTAGTGATGTTGAGTAAGCTAGGCGTATGTAGAAGAATAGGTTTAGTAGGGCTATTATTGCCATTAGTGTGGGTAGGATGATGCTTTGGTTTTTTGTTATTTCTGTAATGATTATTCATTTGGGTATGAAACCGGTAAGTGGGGGGAGGCCTCCTAGAGATAGGAGGATGATTAGGATGGTGTTGGCTAGGATAGGTGAGATGTTTCATAAGTGTGATAGGGAGAGGGTGGTGGTGTTTGTGTTGATAGATAGTATGGAGAATATGGATAGTGTGAGTATAATGTAGATTAGAAGGTTTAGGTGTATGATTGAGGGGTTGAAGCATATTACTGTTGTTATTCATCCTATGTGGGAGATTGAGGAGTAGGCTAGGATTTTTCGTAGTTGTGTTTGGTTTAAGCCTCCTCAGCCCCCTAGTAGGATTGATAGGAGGGAGAATGAGATGATTATTGTTTGGTTTGCTGAGGAGTAGGTTTGGTACATGATGGATAGGGGGGCGATTTTTTGTCATGTGAGAAGGATTATTCCTGATCACAGGTTGGCCCCTTGAGTTACTTCAGGCACTCATAGGTGGAATGGGGCAAGTCCTAGTTTTATTATTAGGGATAATATTAGGATTGAAGAGATTGTTTGGTTTTGTGAGTGTATGATGGCCCATTGGCCTGAGAGGGCCACGGAGTAAATGATTGCTATTATAAATATTATGGATGCTGTTGCTTGGACTAAGAAGTACTTGGTTGCGGCTTCTGTGGATCGTGGGCTTGTTTTGTGCGTGAGGATTGGGATTATGGCGAATATGCTTATTTCTAGTCCTGCTCATATTAGTAATCAATGGGAACTGGTAAGTGTAATTAGTGTCCCTGAAATTAGGGTGAGGTAGATGACGCTATTGGAGATGAGGTTAATTAGTACGGGAAGGCGTGGACCAACATTTTCGGGGTATGGGCCCGATAGCTTGTTTAGCTGACCTTACTATTAGGATATGGTGTATTGGTTGCACGAGGAGTTTTGGTCTCTTTGGGTTAGGTTCAAGTCCTATTATTCTAGAAATAGAAGGGTTCAAACCTTCATGGTTTACTCCATCAAAGTAACTCTTTTTTCAGACATATTTCTAGGTTGTTTGTGGGGGTGTTCCGAATAGTCCGATGGGAAAAGAAATGTGTCATATACATATGGCTAGTGATATTGGTAGGAAATTTTTTCATAATAAGTGTATGAGTTGATCATACCGGAATCGGGGGTATGAGGCTCGGATTCATAGGAATAAGGAGGTTAGTATGAGGGTTTTAATTGTGAAGTATATTGTAAAATTTTCTGGGTTGGTGGATATTGGGGATGTGTTGATAAAGATAATGGTGGTCAGGGCATTTATTATAATGATATTAATGTATTCTGCTATGAAGAATAGTGCGAAGGGTCCTGCTGCGTATTCTACGTTGAATCCAGAGACTAATTCTGATTCTCCTTCGGCTAGGTCGAATGGGGCTCGGTTGGTTTCTGCTAGGGTTGAGATAAATCATATTATGGCTAGGGGTCATGTTGGTAGGATCAATCATGTGTATTTTTGGGTTTCCATAAGGGTGCCTAGTGTGAATGAGCCGCTTAGGAGTAGTACTGATAGTAGGATAATGGCTAGGGAGACTTCGTAAGAGATTGTTTGGGCTACGGCTCGTAGTGCTCCTAGTAAGGCGTACTTGGAGTTTGATGCTCATCCTGACCATAGGATTGAGTATACAGCTAGGCTTGAGGTTGCTAGGATAAATAGGATTCCTAGGTTTATATTGATGAGAGGGTGGGGTATGGGGAGGGGGATTCATATGGATAGGGCTAGGGTTAGGGCGAGTATGGGGGCGATGATAAATAATGAGATGGATGAGGCTGATGGCTTTAATGGCTCTTTAATGAATAGTTTTAGAGCGTCCGCGATTGGCTGGAGGATTCCGTATGGGCCGACGATGTTAGGGCCTTTTCGTAATTGTATGTAGCCCAGGAGTTTTCGTTCTATTAGTGTAAGGTATGCTATTGCTAATAGAATTGGGACTAGTAGTAGTAGTGTATTGATGATGTGCATTAGTTGTTAAGGAGAGGAGTTGAACCTCTGATGGTAAAGTTTTAAGTTTTATGCAATTACCGGGCTCTGCCACCTTAACAGGCCCTTTTCTAGGGCTTTTGTTTGGAACAATTGTTGGATTGATTTGTCTTCATCCTTTTGTTGTGAGGGCGTTATTGGTTAATTGGCTCTATTACTCTTGTCCTTTCGTACTGGGAGGAATATATAAATAGATAGAAACCGACCTGGATTGCTCCGGTCTGAACTCAGATCACGTAGGACTTTCATCGTTGAACAAACGAACCCTTAATAGCGTCTACACCATTAGGATGTCCTGATCCAACATCGAGGTCGTAAACCCTATTGTCGATAGGGGCTCTAAAATAGGATTGCGCTGTTATCCCTAGGGTAACTTGTTTCGTTGATCAATTTGTATTGGGTCAATTTATGATAACTACTTTGACTTGTTTAGTCTAGGTTAATATCATTCGGAGGTTGTGTTGTTCTCCGAGGTCACCCCAACCAAAACGTGTAATTTGATACAGTTAGTTGATATTGTTAATCTGTATAAATTAGGTAGTTGAAGCTCCAAAGGGTCTTTTCGTCTTATTTTGTTATCCCCGCCTCTTCACGGGGAGGTCAATTTCACTGACTGAAAGTAAGAGACAGAAAAATCTTCGTTTGGCCATTCATACAAGTCCTTATTTAAAGAACAAGTGATTATGCTACCTTCGCACGGTCAGAATACCGCGGCCGTTGAACTTTGGCGTCACTGGGCAGGCAGTGCCTCTAATACTCGTCATGCTAGAGGTGATGTTTTTGGTAAACAGGCGAGATTTGTGTTTGCTGAATTCCTTTTACTTTTTTTAGTCTTTCCTTGCGGCACTCCTGTGTTGGGTTAACAGTTGTATCAATAAGTTGTTAATATGTGTTTGTTTTTATATAATTGTTAACTATCAGTGATTATTCGGTTAGATATAAACTTGTGCCCGGAGAATAATTTCTTGTTACTAATATTAACATTATTTCTTCTATGTTTTTATAGATTAGTCCAATTTTAGTTTAGGGGGTCAGTTCTTAGTTTTGGTATTGTGTTTTATGTGGTTTGTTGAGCTTGAACGCTTTCTTAATTGATGGCTGCTCTTAGGCCTACTGTGGTGGTGTTGTTACTTTACCCTCTATGCAAGGTTTTTCCTTATTTATAGAGCTGTCCCTCTATAGATTAGCTTTTAAGTCTTTATTAAGATTTATTTTTCTTTGGAAATGGCTTAAAGTTGAACTGATATCCTTGTTTGGACAACCAGCTATCACCAAACTCGGTAGGCTTTTCACCTCTACTTTTAAATCTTCCCACTATTTTGCTACATAGACGGGTTTGCTCATTGTTAGCTGCTCAAAAGTAGCTCGTTTGGTTTCGGGGTTATTTACACAGGGGCTTTTTGTAAATATGTTTCTAGTTAATTCATGATGCAAAAGGTAATAGGGTCAATCTATGCTTTGTTGTACTGTGAATTAATTATTTCATCTTTCCCTTGCGGTACTTTTTCTATGGCTCCGTGGATAAATTTCTATCTCCTATACTTTTTCTGTGTGAATGTTTTATTTTAAATAGTGAATTAGTTTATTGGCGATAGTTTGGGCTAGCGTTAGTTCAAATCGATCATAATCATGATGTCTTCTAGGTGTAAGCTAGATGCTTTTCTTAAGCTACGTTTTGTTTGTCCAAGCACACTTTCCAGTATGCTTACCTTGTTACGACTTGTCTCCTTTAGTTCCATGTTGACTGTTTAATATAGTATTGTTAGTCTTTAGAGTTTAAGGAGGGTGACGGGCGGTGTGTGCGTGCTTCATGGCCATGTTCAAACAAGCTCTCTATTCTTGTTTTACTACTAAATCCACCTTGTGTTATCAGATTTCATGGTAACTGTCGTTTATGTTCTTGGATAAGAAAATGTAGCCCATTTCTTCCCATTTCATTGGTTACACCTTGACCTAACGTTTTTATGATAGTACTTGAGCTTACTTTTGTCCCCTGTAGAGGTTCGCTGAAGATGGCGGTATATAGACTGAAGTAGCCAGAAATGGTGAGGTTTAACGGGGTTTATCGATTATAGAACAGGCTCCTCTAGATGGGTTTAAAGCACCGTCAAGTCCTTTGAGTTTTAAGCTGTTGCTAGTAGTTCTCTGGCGAAATATTTTGTTGTTATAATATTTTATGTTTACGGCTAAGCATAGTGGGGTATCTAATCCCAGTTTGAACCATAGCTGTCGTGTGTTCAGGTTTGTTAAGATTACTTTCGTAGATAGTAGTGGGTTTGTCTTATCTGAAGTTTTTTACGACCTAGATAGAATTTAATCTTAGTCTGATTATTTTCCCTAAACACCCTTTACGCCGGGTTTTATTAATTTGGGTTAATCGTATAACCGCGGTGGCTGGCACGATATTTACCAACCCTAGTTTGATTGCATAATTAAGTCAAACTTTCGTTCATTGCTTAATATTAATTACTGCTGTTTCCCGTGGGGGTGTGGCTAAGCAAGGTGTCTTGAGCTACTTGGTAGTGTACTTGATACCCGCTCCTTTTTGTCAGTTTAAGATTTCAAGGGCATTCTCACTGGCGGGGGGAGACTTGCATGTATAATTTTGCGCTAAACTAATAAAAAAGCCAGGACCAAGCATTTGTGTTTATGGAATTGGTTAATTCATCTAGGCATTTTCAGTGCCTTGCTTTAAAGTTAAGCTACATCAAC